AATATATCTAAAAGCATATAAACTTTATAAAATGCCTACACTATCTAATGCTATCTAAAATCTTGTTTCGACTTTATCAAATCGCATTTTTCAAATGTTCGCACAGCTTTAAATAACTTCTTCATTATCTCATATCAGATTATTTTCTGCTGTTGTCGCGCACAATCTAAGCACGAAATAATATATATAGATGCCATATAGAGTGTCTGCTTATCAGTGCTTCTTCTTTTTAGCCAGTCGTGAATGAATCAATTACTCACGCCACACAAACTTGGCGAACTGTTGAATAATGGTCAAAAAATTTGGAGTGTACGTGACCCAAGCGCCGCCAGTTGAGAATATTCTCAGACGAATCGATCGATTGGGGCGCCTAAGATCGTCTTAGATCTGTTTTATGCTCGACTCTACGTGTGATACGAAATACAGACTTATAATTCGACTTATCTAAGCGCAAAGCTTCCGTGGCTGTCCATATATACATACATACATACATATATGAATATGGTTTGCTTGTGACATTTTTTCTCATGCATTTATTTTCGCACTTTTTATTTGCCTTGCCTTGCTCATTAACATGTTGAGCGGCGATTACATTCGATGATCAGCTGAAATCGAAAATCTGTCAAAATAATCCAAACTTGTTTCCCTCTGGGCCTTGATAGCGCGCGAGAGAGAAATAGAGAGGTTAGGAGGTAGAAATAGGACAATCAACATAAATTTAGAGTCGTTTGTCTTTGCTTTTCCAGCAGCTTTTAATGCGACTGCTTTATAGGGTTGTCCGTACAACGTCGTAAAACTAGTTTCGGCATTAGTTAGTGCTCCGTTTTGAATTTGTTTATTTGGGTTAGTGAGGCATGGGCTGGGTTATGGCTATGTCTGTGGCAGCGGCTGTTGCTGGGAGCACAGCTGACCATCATTCATTTGCTTTCCTAATGCCTTCTGTTTGAGTGTGTGTCTAGCGGATTTTTCGCAATTTGCGCTAATTGCAACTCGTATTCATGTTCTGGGCATTAACGAGTGCAGAGTGCATGCAGATAATATATGCCAAAGAACTGTGCAAATTGACTTTAATTAGTCATTTCGTTTTACACTTGTCCTTAATTTGAATTTAGGGATGACTAATTGAGTTGTTATAATGTTGATGTGTAGAATTTTATTATAGACATAGTTACAGTTGGAGAAATTCTGACAAATTTTAAAGCTCTGTAAATGAAATATATATGTATGAAGATTATAACAGCTTAGTTTCTTTTTTTGTTAATATATAAACATTCAGTAAAAGGTAAATAATTATTTGATGTTCAGAGAAAAATTATCTTTCGATGAAGTTTCCTTTTTACTGATATTCGATATCAATAAATAAATAATTATAAATATTTTTCTCATAGGGGAGCATAAAATATTCGATTTTCAAAGACCTCTTATATTTTGATTTCTAAAAAAAAAAAAAAAAAAATTCTGAAATTTATCTAACATTTTATATATACAAACATTTTTAAATAATCCTATTTTGAATGCGCTTTGGTTTAGATAAGTTCAGAATTTTATTTTATCTGATTACAATTTCATTAATAAATACGAGTATAACAGTGGATTAAAAATTCGAGTTCGAAAATTTACACAATATCGAAAATATCAACAGCCTAAAAGCATGCAGCACGGCTGAAAGCCAAGATGATTGAAATAAAAATGTATAGCATACGCACAGGGGCAAAATGCGTTTGTCGCTTAAGTCTTTTGTGTTGCCACAAGAATGGTAAAGTTTGAGCAGAGCAAAGACATATTAAATGTTAATTAGTAAAGATGGAATATTTTTAAATAAACTCATAAACAGATACATAAATGTAGATATGTATATATTTGTGCATATATACATACATATAATTTACCCACATTCGCATTCCTAATTATAATTATGCACATGCACATGCACATGTGAATGTTTTCAAGACTGATTTGCAATTGCTTGCCACAGCAAGCAGCCGCCCAGTAGCAGCTCTGCTCGTTCTGCGTGTGGAGCGGGTGTGCATAGACACACACACTCACACACACACGCACACAGCTGCACTTGTGTCAGTTACTTCATCTCTTATGCCTTTTCGTTTCCAATTCGCTGATTAACAAGTTCAACAAAACGAAAAATGTGCAGCGATGTTTGATTTTTTTGTGTTTTGCATTTATTTTGTTTTTGCCTTTTATTTTGGTGCAAATTCGGCGACGTCAATTGCACGTTTTATGCGTCAAGCCGCCCCGTTGCCCCCTCTAGACATGGCTATATAGTTCGAGTTGATGACGGGCTCTTGGTTGATCGAGAGTGCCCGTTGATTACCTGGTTGACTGACTGGCTGAATGTTTTGGTGCGTTGGCTGAATGCTGATGACGTCATTTGCTGGCTGCATTCAGGCGGTGATACAAATAGTCTCAATTTCAAACCGGCTTCAGCATTTGCGGCTGTGCTGCCTGCTGCTTCTGTTGTTGTTGTTGTTGTTGTTGTTGTAGCTGTTGTGGGCAGCAATATGATAATTGGCGGTTATTAGAATTGCATGGACGAACAAGACTGTTGAAAGCGGTTCGAACAGTGAAAGTGGCCAAGATGTGAATGTGTGTGTGTGAGTGTGTATGATGTGTGTGTGTGTGCGCCGTTGATTGCTAGTAGAATTTAATATAGTGTGCGCGCTTCACAGAATCTCAGCAGACGACGACAATTGGGCAATGGGCAAGGCGCAACGCACGGAACACTGTGCTACCGGGTTGGGTGTAACGGAGCACTTGGCTAGTTAGCGATATGGCAGCTATATGGCTTCATGACTCCAATTCCTTTCACTTGCCCACTGATTAGACGAGACGCAACCAAAAATCGTAAAACAATAGCCCATGTCACACACACATCGGACAGAGGCAGACAGTCGGACAGACGGAGAGTCGGACAATCGGACAGACCGAGCGCAATGCTCCAGTGCCCAACAAATGCATCCCCCTTTATAACAGCACTCAGTGTAGAGTGTACGTTGAGCAAGTGTAAGTGAGTACGGACACAAAAGGGATTGTCCGAGCATACAAAGCATTCGTTCGTCTCTTATTCAATCTGTTGACAAAAGATTTTCATGCTGCCTTTGTGTGCAGCCTCCACTGCCAAGCAAAGTTGGCATTGTGAACGCATTTTCACACTCCAATTTCGTGCTGGGCTTCGACAATTGACAGCCGCATTAAAAACTATATAAATTCATAAGTGGGAGACAGCAACAAAACAGCTGAACAGCCTTCTTTGAATTCTATATGAAGTCGAGAAATGTCTGTCGAAATCAATTCTATGCTAGCAAAAGCATAAAAGTAATTAATGAAAGGGTTTATTTATAGGCCACTTTCAACAAAATTATTTTCTACTCTGCCTGGCTTTGGCTGCGGCTGTGGCTGTGGCTGTGGCTTTGGCCCACCTCATTTGGCTGCTATATTATTTTCAAATGAAGCACAATTTTAACGGCCACTTTGGCCATTTGCAATGCGAGGCACACAGAGCCAGAGCCGCCAAAAGCTTATGAAAATAAAGCAATTATGAATGCTAAACGAAACGTAAGGCGAAAACTCTAAATTCTATATGCCACAATAAATATACAAATACAAGCGCAAGCAGACAACGTGAGTTATTGCGGCAGAGCTTGTGTGACTGGAAAATACCCTGGAATGCTTGCGAATTTTAAAAAAGACTTTTACTGAAAAAGACTTTATATGAATAAATTTAGCGATTTGCTATGGCATTTTAGAAGAGGAGTAAGCCAAGTTCAAATCATAATATAAATAAATATAAATGAAACACAACATAGACAGTCTACTACAGAGTAGGAATCCCATTTCAAACATGCAATAAACCACAAAGTATTTGAATGATTACATCTATAATTACTCACATACTCATAAAAATAAACTCCAATCCCATATACCCCTTATGGCTACTTCTAAGGGGTAGGCGATACGTCAAGTGCCGCTCGCATAATGCCTATCAAATAATTCGGGTAAGTCACGCTCTCAACGCTCAGGCCGGCAATCCATCAAGATTCGACATATCCGCTGCACAGATAGCTTTATGGCCAGCCAGCTCGATCAGTCAATAGATATATATATATACTCGCAAATTTTATTGAGTTGGCCAATAAACGCAGCAATTTGTATTCGCATTTCCGTGCTCAGCTCGTAGCTGGCTAATGCCAAATATTCAGCACATTATTTCTTATGCGATCGGCTTCGAGTCTCGACTCGACTCGAGGTSTGCGTCAGAAATAATATTTTTATTTTCTATTAACGCGAACCAAACAAGACGCTCAAGACTTTAATCGCTTACAGTGTGTGCTGTTAATAATGGGACCCCGGGATCGGGATCGGGCTCTAGTTTCGCTCGCATGCTTACATAATAATTATATAAAAAATTATGAAATTATGCTGTGTGTCTTGTGCGCTGCTAAGAACGTGTTAAAACGAAATTCAATTAAAGTGTGAGAAGAAGACGCAAACGAAGCCCCAGTCTAATGTATGGGTTCTCTTTAGTTTGGCTTAGCCCACTTCCTGCTCTGCTCTGCTCTGCTCTGCTCACGAATTAATTATGCTCACGATATGAGAACTGGGAATGAATGGGAGCCTCAGATATTTCTAAACATCTTCAGAACTTTCGCAGTCGCAGCTCGTGGGCGTTTGATGTTTTTTCTTCTTTTTATGTTTTTACAAGTGAAAAGTAGATAAGGAATAATAAAAGTAGATAACTGAGAATAAAAACATAAAAATGTGTTTAACAAGACGCAAAGTGTATCGGAAAGCAAAGAAACAACACATGGCCCGCCTCGTTCGTTGACGCAATGAGAATTGGTGAGGCGTGCCAAACGAAGCAGGGCGCTTCGGCAGAGCTCGGCTCGGCACGGAGCGACACGGCACTTGAGCGTTAACTGCTCGCAGCCAGTGTGCGATGTAGAAAGCCACGCTCTAGACTCTATCGACTGGGCCGGCCGGAGTCAGTTCTGCATTAATGAGAGAGCAGTTCGGTTCATGCTCGCTCGCACGCTACGTGTGGTCGCCCCCAGTGTCAGTTGCCAAGTGTCTCCCCAGTCCCCCGCCTCGTCAACCCCCGGCGGTACCTTTAGCTCGTAAAGAGCTTCCAACTGTGCACAGATTCAGCTTCAGCTGCAGTGAGTGTTTGCTGCCTTTCCATTTGGTGTTTGATTTGAAGAGGAAAATCATATATAAATCGTCGTCTGTTCAGCACTGCTCAGTTTTTTGTAATGGAAAAACTTGTTTCATGTTTTCTCGATACGAATTTTCCTCTCCAATCAAAAGTCGTCTGCGCGCGCGTTTTACGTTTTGGGCAGTCAGTCGCAAGTCGAAGCTGCTCCGATGCGGAGTGTTGCTCGTGTGAATACGAATAGACACGGGGAGTGTCTGTGTGCGTGTGTGAGAGTCGAAATTTGCCGATCGATTGCATTTTGGAGTGCATTACGCATACGCCGCGTGTCGCGATTGCCAGCTCAATGCTCAGTGGCCACAATCCATATCTAATAACAGACGCGCTGCAATTGACAATTGACTTCGTTTACGGAACCAGCACGCGTCGGTGTCAGCTGTGTTTTGTTTCTTCATAAATTGTGTGTGTGTGTGTGTGTGTGCATATTGTTGTTATATGATGCGTTGTTATGGCTGTGACGTTTTCGCTAAAGACATTCAGTAAGCAGTTCAGGGCTAAGCAATGAAGGTGTTGCCAATTAATATTTAAAGCGTCTGGCTCGTAACGTGATAACTTGTTCCACATATATAGACGTATACATGCGCACGCATACATATGCGTTTCGCTGTCTTGCTCAGCCTTTTTGTTTTCTTAGCCAAAAACAAACTGAAATGTTAAATGTCGAGGCTTAAAATACCGATTAAAAAACAAAAACAAAAATAATGAAATATAATAATCTTGTATAAACTTGAAAATATTCACAAATATTCACATTAATAATGCCACAAAAAATAATATAAATAAAATATAATTTTACCTGCTCTTGATGGAGCTTTAAAGTGTTTTCAAAAATCCGACGTTAATAAATCTCTGGAAATTCCTTTTAATATCATTTTAGTTTACATAAGTTTTGTATAAAAGCAAGTCTAAGTAAATTACATGCAAATCATATCAAATGCAAGAAAATGACAAATTCTGTTGCACCTACAAACAATATAAAATCTGTCCAAAGATGGAAATACCAACGACTAAATATCTAGCCGATTATCTATATGTTGTGCACGAGGATGTACCCTTCAGATATTATCGCAAAGTAAGTAATGTGAATAAAAGAAGGAATGAATGCGGTAGATAAATTCGAGATATATCGAAGTTGAATTATCTAAGAAATTTTGTTTTGTTATATATTGTTATATATACATAGAATAACATATGGAAGGGTTCTTTACTCAAACAGCAGAGCTTCAGTAGATATATATGATCTCTATGAAATAGTATATAGCTCCCATATGATATTATAGTTAAATCCAGACAATTATGCAATACATATCTACTGTATACAATCTATGTAATTCGCACTTGACGTGTGAATTACCGATGCCTATAAGCTGAAAGATAAATAGGTAATAGAAGCGGATCAACAAGATTGTTTACATTATCTAGATCATATCCCATCTAAACTGTTACATGATGCCTGTCAAAACGATAATACCCACTAAAAATATGTGCAAAAACAAGCTGTAAAAAGATGAAGTCGTAAATGTTAAAGTTTTAAGCTTGGTTTGTATTGTGTTTTTAAATACTTTACATCTGTATAAAATCTGTCGATATATATCTATATTTTTATATATACACATGATATTTAACGCTTATAAACATATAATATTAGGCTCGCTGGGTAGTCGGGAGCTTAGTCAATGCCTATAGATGGGTGTATTTGAATAGCGCGCACTCAGCTGAGCTGCGAGCGGCTTTTGTTTACATTTTCACTGTGCGGTTTTCGCTTTATTAACTGCGTTTACTTGGGCGTCACGTCTGTCCGTTCGTCCGGATAACCGAGCGTCGCGTCGCGTCGCCTCGTCTCGCTCTTGAATGAATTTCACTTAAAAGCGTTCCCCAGTAGTGGCAAAGCGATTTTTATTTTTTATGTACGTTTTATTATAAATATAAAAAAAAATCTTTTGTTGTTATTTTAGCTGCGAGCTGCAAAGTTTTATATTTGAAAGTACTCAAAGTCTGTTATAGTTGCTGCTCTTATTGTTGTTGTTGTTGTTGTTGGCGTTGGTGTTTTTGCTCCGCATCTAATGGGCTTATGCGGCACATTTTGCAGGCAGCGGCATTTTGGTCTGTGGGACCCCCGTAATGGGCCGCACTTTCTTTTGCTGCTCATTACGCGCTTAGATAAATATGTATGTATATATTGTAAGAACGAGCTCAGGTAGGGGCCAGCTAACTAGTATGAGTGAGTGTGTGTGTGCGAAATGGAGCTGTAAAACAAATAAACAGACTGACAAACGGACAGACTGGCAGACAAATTATTAAACGAATTGAAGAAAATTACACAACTTAAAAGCGGAAGTGCCGGAAATGAATATATATATATATGTGGCGTTTCACCTTTTAAGTATTCGCCAGCGATATATATATATATATGTCTGTCAACACACAAACACACATATATATATATATATATATATATGTGTATTACCTATCATATGACTAATGTACTTCCCCATTTTCAACTCTTTGCAGACCAAATGCTCGGTATTTCGCGGCCTTGTGCTGTGCATTTGCCTCAACGTGAGCTATGCGAATGTGGTGCGCTTCCCACGCGAACTGGACCACTATGGCTCGGCGTATCTGGTGCCGTATGTGGTGTTGCTGTTTCTAGTCGGACTGCCCATGATACTGCTCGAGATATCTGTGGGTCAATTTCTGGGGCAAGGAGCGGCGCACACCTGGCGTGCATCGCCCATATTCAAAGGTAAGCAAAGGGGATTGACTAACAATGCTCTAAAAAGCTGCATGAGATGCCAAAGCTGCAGTCCTCTAAAAACTATGAAAGCTCAGGCTGAAAGCTTGCAGTTGAGTGCACTTTTTATGGCAACAGCTATATCGAAACAGCTGCAACAGGTGGCAAAGCTGCAGTCCTGTGGAAAAGTTGTAAAGCTCATGCAGAAGACAAAGCTCTTGCATTTGGATGCAGCAATAGCTATTACGAAAGGATTTTGTTGACGGAAGTGCAGCACTCTAGGAAAAGCTTTCAAAAATGTTTAAAGTTCATTTCCTGGCAATGGCAACGGCATTCACATGCTTCACAAGTGCAACAGGTGGCAAGCAAACAACCCTTTTGTGAATCGTAAAAGCTGCAGTCCTTATGAAAAGTTCTAAAGCTCATTGCGAAAACTTGCATTTGGCTGCACTTTGACGCATTTCGTTTACAATTCCCAAATTGGAATTCTGCGAGGATGTGGTATATAAGGCGATGGCCAGCCATATGCTGTTGGGGCGGTCGTGTGTTCCGCAGTAAAGACGGTTGGACACAGCCCGTCGAATCCGCACTCTGAAATTGTGTCCGTTTGGTTAACGCTTGTAGAACAACAACAACAACAAGAACTACAAACGCACAAACTATAATCAAACGCTGCGCAAACTTTCGTCATTCTCTGATGCTAAACGCAACATGCTAAATGTATAAGGCACAGAACAACTATTAATATACTATACATGTATATCTGAATAAAATGCAAAAGTTGAAACTAGAAATCACGATACGCAAAGATAATTGATGAAAAAAACAAAAAAAAAAATCTGACCAAAAGTATATCAATGCAAACAAAAAAACATATAAAAAAAATAAAAATACACTAAAAAAATGAAAAAAAAAGTAAACTAACTTAAATGTGACCTAGTAGATTAAAGATAAAAAAAAAGTGTTATCAGGACAAAAAAAAATCTCTCAGAAAATCTAAAAAAAAATATTAAAAACTGCAAAAATGCATTGGTGTGTGTGTCCCGTTCGTGTAATCGCTGACACGTCAATCGGCCACACAGACTCCTGGACCGGCAGTCCTCCCCTTCACCTCAAGCCGAGGATATGCTACGGATAACGCTTGGCCGACTTGGCGCGTCCACAAAAAATAACCATAGAGACGTTTAAGGCAAATTCTAAATGAACAAAAGTATAAACCAAGAAAAACAAAGGAAAATGAAAACTGAAGAAAAACAAAAATGAAAAACAAAAACACAATTGTAACGAAGAAACAAACGATATTCAAAAATGAGCAATATGAGCAACATACTAATAATGGCAAAAAGCAAAAATGAAAAAAACTGCAAATTACGACACAACACCTTCGAAAAAGACCTCAGTATAATACACATAATGCTGGGTGCTGCAGAGGAATGCCATAGCCGTATCGCCCCTTTTTTTCACCATATTGATATATAATATTATTTTAAATTAATTACAATGCCTTCGAGTTGTGGATTGGGAAATGCGTGAGTGTGATTGCAATTGGCAAACCCCATGCAATAATTTTTATTTTGAAAGTCGAATTTAAATCGCATTTGAATTTATGTTCAAATTTGAATTTGATATGCGGTTACCCTAATATATGTATAGAAATATGCAAATCAGCAAGACAGCTGGCAACGCTGTTAATAACAAATATCGGCCATCCAATTACAGTAGGTGTGAAATGTTACAAATATGTAAATCAGATTGATAGCTGGCACATATAAAAATCAAAAATTAACTTGAGACTTGATCCACCTAAAAAACCAATTAGTGAGAGTTAATCGTTGCGATTATGTTAATTTTTGTACTGGGTGGCCACATTAATGATAATATTTAAAATCATTTTTAAGCGTAGTTAGCAAAATTCAGGCTGAGTGCTATGAAACGTTATGTTTAGCAGTTTAACGTTTCATTACACTACGTTACGTTGCTACATTCTGGTTGGCGGCAACGTTTGTTGTAATAGAGCGTACGTAGTAGGAGTTAACATTACGTTACGTAACTTCTGGGCAAATTTCCTTGTGCTAGCTGACAACGCTAGCTGAGTGCTATGAACTTTAAAGCGGAAGTAGAGGTGATCATGAATTTAACTTCCAGTCATAAACATCGTTACATACCTTTAATTCTTCATAATTAATTCTTAATTTAAATATATAAATTATAATCTCAAACAGGGGCCAGCATCATTAGCCGCTTTGCATCTTGGGTGTCAGCTATATGGATATCCTTGCAGGCTGTGCTTGCGCTGGGCTACATAGGCATGTTTGCCTCCAACGGGATCCCATTTCGCGAGTGCGTGGGCAACCTGAAGCTGAGCATGGTAAGACTTCTCATATTGAATTTAAGTAATCTGTAAAGCTGACGCGCTCTGCTTGCAGCAAGGATATACGGTGACGGGCAACAGCGGACAGGAGTGCTTGCAGCAGACCTTTCTAACGCCCTTCTGGCGCAATCCGCTCTACTTTGGACTGCTGGCTGCGGGTCTAATTGGTCTGTGGATAGTGGTTATGTTGTGGTATGTATGAGCAGGTTGAGACTATTCATTTTTAGCTAATTTAAACTTTCCTTGGTAGCACGCACAATGCCAAAGTCCTGCGCCGCAGCTTGTTTGTCTATGGCCTGGTGGGGCTTTGTTTGCTCTGCGCCTTGACTGGCTGGGAGGTGCGCAACTCCTTCTCCCGCCACTACTTTCCCGAGCTGTGGGCCTTTGACCGCACATTGCTCGCCGAGAGCAACATCTGGTTCAATGCCTTGATGCAGGTGTTGTTCTCCTTGAACTGCGGCTTTGGCGCCATGCCCATGGTGACGGGCAAGTTCCTCTACAAGGGCGACGCAGTGCGCACCTCCGTGGTCTATCTGTGCTTCAATCTGCTGATCAATGCCATTGCCGTGACCCTGTTCATGGTTCAGTTCGATTTCTCGTCCAATGGCTTCCCGCTTATGGACGAGCTGAAGCCGCTGACTGCCATCTATGATCGGGTTCTCTATGGCGCTCAGTCGGAGGGCGAGCTGCTGCGTCATCTGATACCCTCGTTGATCTATGCGCTGATCATCTTGTCGGCGCTCGTCTCCATCACCGTCGCCGTCTATACATCGACGCGCTTGGTGCCCCGTCGGCCCAGCTATGTCATTTGCCTGATTGCCTTGGTGGTGGCCGTCATGTCGTTCGCGGCGCCCAAGTTCCTGATTGCCCGAGTCCTGGACTCACGCATTGTGGGCACTCTGGTCATTACGGCGCTGGTGTTCGAGTTGATTGCCATCACGTGGATCTATGGCGCCAAGAATATCTATACGGATCTGGAGTTCTCGATCGGACGGCCCATCTTCCGCGGCTGGATGTGGATGTGGTGTAGCTGCCCGGCCATTCTGACGGGCATTTTAGTGTGGTGGTGCGCCGACGACGATCAGTTCGATCTGCTGGCGGGCTACTTGCCCCGCTGGGCGCCCATTCTGTTCGCCCTGGCGGTGATCATGATTATCGCTTGCATACAGATCTTCCGGCAGGTGGAATACAATTTCTTTGGCATGATCTGCGAGGCCTCGAAGCCAGCCAAGGAATGGGGTCCAGCCGATCCACTGGCGCGCCACTCGTGGAAGCAATGGCGTTCCGTCTGCCAGGACACCGGAAGGCGTGACTTCACCCTGCGTCGTCGCGGCACTCGTGACTACACGCACTCCATCAAGAAGGGCCAGTACTCGAGTGGCCAAAAGCTCGGCGCCAATGGTCAGACAGCGCATCCACAGCAGACGCACTGGAAGTCCTCCACGCCGGGCAACAGCTCGCCCAACTACAGCGGCTCCATGTTTGGCGACTCGGCCATCGAGGAGGACATTAGCGTGGACAAGTTTCCAGGCATCACGCAGCAGTATGTGCCATTCCAGGCCAGCGATGGCAAGCCGCTCAGATACTCGCAGCGGGCACGCCAAACAGCGCAGCCACAGACGCTGACTCGCCTGCCGCCGGGTCCGACGACAGTGGAGAAGCACCGCGAGGTGGTATACATAAGGCGGCTGTCGGATGGCGGCAGCGGCAGCCATGCCACACGCATTGAGATATCGCCATCCAACGAGTCGATTACCTATGGCAATGGCAAGGCCAACGGTAACGCCAATCTGGCCATGTCCCGCAACCCTTTGGGCCGCTCCACTGGCTGCCTGGCGCCGGCGCCGGCGCATAATCCGAGTCACATCAAGCGCTCGGCCAGTTCCGTGGTGAATGTCAACACGCACAAGCTACCTCCGCCGACGTCCGCGGCTGCCGGCGATCACATCTGTTGGCGCAAGTTCAACATCAATCCCGAGGAATACTCCACGGAGCTGTGAGCTGTGTGAGCTGTGAGCTGACGGTAACGAAGCATTCACATCCAAAAGACTTGTCGCATCCAAAATAAGAGAAAGCATGTATCTGAATCTGTGCAGATCTATCTTTAAGCTACGAACCACTACTACGAACTATGCCCATATGCAAAGTGTATCTTCTAGTTTTCAACTGTACATATATATAGAGATAGAGATAGAGATAAAGATAATGATAATGATAAAAGATTAGTTTAGTTTGAATAGCCGCCTAAGCAAATTTTGATATACACACAATTCAGTTGTCATTCAGCCGCCACAACTAAGCAGAGTAACGTGTAGTTAAGCTTTATCTTAGACCTCTAGACACTTTCGATGTATTTTGTGAATGCCTGTGCGTATGTGTTGTGTATGTGTTTATGTATTTTGTATGAGTCTGTTAAACATTTTTTTTAGTTTGTCCAATATGATAACGATAATAATTATAATAATGCTTATCATAAAAAAAGTTAGTGTACGAAACTGCGTTTAGTTATTAGTCAACTGCACAACGATTACAGAAACGATATAATGTAATAAAAAATATAATTAGTAAATTATAAATGAGTGTGTTTTTATTTATATAAAATATACATGTGTATATAAATACAAGCTATAGAGATGTTAGGTATTTATATTGCATACAACAAATGCCATTGCATACTTTTTCGCGCATCATAAATACTAGCTGAGAAAAATCTATTGCATGCTTTTAGGCATGAAAATAAGTATTCATAACAGACCTGCACAATGAGAGCTATAAATAGAGCTGTTGCGTTTCGTGCTGATTAGAAAAGAATTCTCTTAGTTAAATTTGGAACAAAAAAGTCTACCAAATATATTCTTTATCTTTTTTTTTTTTAATATCATAAATAATTAGCATTTATTATGCAATAGAAAAGAATTGCTTTTTAAATTAATATTCTCTTTTTACAATATAATTACTATTATAAAAATATAATTTTTATTTTTACTGCGAAGGTTTTTGCCTTTTTTTGCTAAAATAAGAACATTAATTTATACGTATATTTTTTCATTTTTTATAATGCTTGTTAGACTATGATTAAAATCACAAATTGTTTATTGTATGCGTCATAAATAATAATAGCTATTTAAACCTGAATGCTAATATGTTTAATATGTATTCTTAGGCAACATATTCCACTAAATGAGATCAGGTTTTTATTTTGGAATGACTTTTAATGAATAGAAATCGAGTTTTGGTTAATTTCAATTATATATATATATATTTACTACAGTCACTAGAACGGTAAAAAAAACAATTACGCCCACTCCTTCGAGTTATACTTTGGTAGCTCTTGAAGAACTCACAGAAGTCGTGATTAGCCAAAAATATATGGGCAACTAACTGACTTGCGGTTGCAGTTTCCAAGCATAAACTTTGTGTACATATTACAGCCATAATGATGGGTCTATAATCGAAAAGAATCATTAGACATGATGTCTACAAGCGTATAAAAGATATAATTATAATATATAAAGGTAGATACGTATACCCGCCGTAGCTAATGGCCAAACAAGTGACTGATTTATGTCTTCAGCATTTGTGAAAATATCATTAATGCCCACACTAAAATGCTAATCGGTGTGCTCAACAGCTACACTTAGATACACAGATATACATAGTTAGATAGATACATCTACGTGCCAAATAGCATATGATTTTGTATCTTTCGTATCTTTATCTCATGGCTTGGCTTAAGCTGGAACCGCAATGCTTCCTTTGTTTTGCATAACTCAAGTCTTTGTGGCTTCGAGCATATTTATATAGTATGTATATATCTACATTTATATACGTATCTACAAATATATTTCCAGCTGACTTATTTGTTGACTGATGAATTTTATACAAATTTGATACACTCGAGGTGAACTTGATTTTTGTTGCTGCTGTTATTTTAGTTTGTATTTATTTATTTTTTTGTTTGTGAAATATGTAGAAGCATCTTTGCAGAAGCGGCTGAACAAGTTTTGTTCGCAGTATCATTTTTTTTTTAAATTAAAGCTAATAAATAGTTAGGCGCTCGGTTGGGTTTTTTTTTCTTATTTTACTTCTTTTTTTTTTTTTGGCTGCAAGCTATACGCGCTGCGGTCACAGCCTTTGCCTAAAACCAAATTATATTTCTATTTACTTATTTATATATTTATATTTTTTATGCTTTTTCATTATCTATCGATTTCATTTAAATACGCTGAAAATCTGAAAACTTGTCCAAGTAACCTTCGGCAAAGAGAGACCAAATATAGTCTGGGGTGTGGCCGGACTTAAGTGCGTTGACAGGTGGCAACGCTGTGAATTGAGCGCAGCAAGGGGCAAAGGATGCTCCATTAGCATAGCTGTGACAGCGATTAACTTTGCTCAGTTTAAGCTATCGATTACGTTTCGTTGACGTAACTTGGCTTACGTAATTAAGAAGCCGATGTCGTGTAGAAGCGATGGGAATAGCAACAGGTTACAAAGGATTTGTCATAGCATAATTATGACACTGATGAACTTTCAGTTATCGATTAATCGGCAGCAATTAATTAAAGCCAGCAGCCGATGTCATGTAGTAAAGCAACAGGTTGAAAAGGATTCGTCATAGCATAATTATGACAGTGATGGACCGAACTCAATTTCCGTTATTGATGGCCTCTAATCAATTCAAGCTCAGCATTTTACACAAAATCAGCATAGTCCCGCATTCGTTTAGCAAACTTGAACCCGAAAATCCCCTGTATAATTAAATATACCTAAAACAGGCCGACGATAGCCATAAATTTGTATATAAATTGTAAATAATAAACTTGATAATTTGCATGTGAAACTTGTAAAAAATCAAATTTTTGGCCGACAAGCCTAAGAGCCTTTCTGTCTCTGAGATTACACCAAATTCATATGTATTTAAGTGTGATTGTGTGTGAGTGATTGTTTGTCTCGCTGTACGTTTCTATATGTACATTCGTATCAAGCAGGCAAACCAGTTCGTATTTAAATAAAATAACTCGTTCGGCGCGTCATTTATTTTAAATTAATTTGGAATATCGAATTTTTGATTATTTTTATTTGGCTCACAAATTTGACCAAGACAAGTAGAATGTTTTAAGCAGCATCTTAAAGCCAGTTGAGCCCACCATTATTATAAATATATCGATACACGTACATGGATATTTCGATATACATATACTGAGACGTATGTTTATATGTATGTGTGTGGTTGTTCATTATGTGTGGCTACATTTGATGTATATTTCTAAAATTGCTTTTGTTTTGACTCGCGACGCCGATCACCTAACAGCCTTGTGTCTGTCGGCGCGTGTGACCGACACTGCTCCAATTTTTTTTGGCTTAATTCGCAATAAAAAAAAAAAAAAAAAAAAAAAAAAAGATCTGCGAAAATTCAAGACTTTGCTTCTTCTTGTTTGCAGATTAACTAGGCTAATTTACAGGCCTGACTATTGAGCTGTAGTACAACACTCTTGGATGGCCATAAATCAAAACTGAGAGTCAGTCGAAACACCTTCCGTTTGGCCGTTTTGGCCCGAGCTGAACTTGAAAGCCAAATGAATAATTGGCTCAATCACAAGTTCGAAGAGATTTATATGAATTCAAGAAGCTATATATTTTACGAGGCTCGCAGTTCATTTACTCAAATTTCAGACGCTAAGAGCTCTTCGCGTTTTATTCAAATTTTAGAACTTGTTTTCTTCAGTTTCAATTGGAGATGATGTATGTAAACGATGTCCAAAGTTTGATAATCCGATTTTATTTAGTCGACATACAGCTGGTTGAGCATTGAAGCTCAGCTCTTGGCCCCTTGACGCTCGGCTAATTACAATAAAATCTTGATTAATGGCGAACATCTTCTTGAAAAGAAACTTTCGCTTAAGCTGGCCGCGCTGCGTGTAAGCTGAAATTACATAATTCCCACACAAAAGTATTCTGAGCAACAGGTTTTCAGTGGAATCCGATAAGCATCGTATCCCAGCTCCAAACTGTGACCCTCATGAGCACAAGGATTTCAATGCCAATGGCCGGCAATTGGGCCAATAAATTGGCCAGGCTGAAACTGGTTGGCAGCTGGGCCAGTTACCCTGTTGCCCTGATGCCTGACTGAGCGTGTCCTTGATACGACTTAGTTATTAATGGTTTCTCCTCTCGCGTTTTTAATGGAAGAGCAAACACGTTTTCTTTTCGATTTTGTTTTTTTTTTGACAACTTGATAGCCCCACACTCTGTACTCAGACTCGGCGCTTGGGTTTAATGAAATTTCACAGCAGCTAATAATAAATGTTAAGTTGAATCCAAAATAAACCGTTAGAATCGTGGGATAAATAAATAAACATCGACTGTCATCACTTATTCGTTGAAATATCAATATATCAATAAAATTGTTGCTATTCAAATGACGTATTTTATGTTAAATGTTAAATGTTAATAATGGCGAAAGTTATAGCGCTACAAATTGGACAAGAACATAAAAAGAATGAAAACAAAGTCAAAATAAAACATAACGGATTCCATCGCCTGAAATATAAAGTTTGCCAATCAAACGGAAATCGAAAGTTGCTTTAAGCACAGCCTTACAAATTTGCAAGCGATTTGAATAAAATATTCCACTAATTCTGCTAATTTTAATTCCCGCACATCGTAAAACCCATGCAAGCAGTGTGTCTAGCTGATGAGCTCCAAAATAGGTTAGATTTTGGAAAAAAAGTAGGTTAAAATGCAGAAAGAACTGCTGTCTAGGAGAACCTACAAAAAGTAGTAAATATATTTAACTAATTATTTGCAGTGACATTTTTTTGCTCTTAAGAATAATAAAATAAAAAATCAAACAATAATTTGGCACACAATATGTAGTTTTTTTTTTTTATTATTTTCTCTTAGCATTTTCTTCAAGAATTTCCTCTAAGAGCTTCCTCGAAATATTTACTTTAAGTATTTCCTCTAAGAACTTCCTCCAAGTCCTCACACACTTATTTTCACTTTACAGCACTGAACTAGTGACCCCCACCAGGCCTGAGCGACTGAAGAAATGCTGCAGCTGCTGCCCTTTATATAGGGCGACTTTCACTCAGACACTAGGTCGTGCTCAACTGTTGCGCCCGGAGAGAGTTAGGGCTCGTTGCAGTCGAGCCTTAAGTGACCAATGGGAGCACTCTCTGCATTCTAGCTTC